AGGCTGATTCCACTTAAAAGTCTTGATCTTACATGAGATATATGATTCTTAAAAGTTAAGGTCTGATCTATATATAGTCCTAAAAACTTACAGCACTCTTTACTTTCAAAGATCACACCATCCTTAACTAAATCTACTAAATCTATCCGAAAACTACAATTTCTGTCTTATCAAGGTTGACTTTGAAATTAATATTTTCAAAATATGAGCTAGCTTTATGTACAAAACCAGCCATGCCCTGCTTGAGTTCATCGAAAGACTGAGCCCAGCATACACCTGACTGTCTCAGCATAGATTCAAAGATTCAAAGATTTATTTCAACAAGAAACAAGATTGCACACTTGTTTCTTATACATTCTGCATACATACTAATTTCAACGTTATTGATTACTAACATAGATATTATACAGATGAGGGCCCAAAATGGACCCTTGTGGGACTCCTGAAACAACATGTTTTTTTCCGACATGACATTGTCCAATGACCAACCATTGTCATAAGAAACCTTGGTATACTGAATACGATTGGTTAAAAAGCTGCTAATCAACACTGTCAGCCAAGAAGAGAGGCCAATCTCAACTAACCTATTGACAAGGATTGCATGGTTGATCCTGTCAAAGGCTTTAGAGAGATCCAAGCATACCCCAGCCACTTTACAACCACTATCCAACTTGTTCAAGGCAGTGTGGACAAATTCTGCAGCAGCCGAGGTAGTACTTCTACTCTCTCTAAAGCCGTGTTGGCATTCAGGTATTATGTCATCCTCAATAGTGAACTTTTTTAGGTGCTTAAGCATGAGTTTCTCCACAACCTTACTAAAAGTGGATGTCAAAGAGATGGGCCGAAAATTGGAAGCATTATCTTTCGGACCCTTCTTGTGCAATGGTTTTACAACAGTTAGTTTTAAAACATCGGGGAAAATACCACTATCAACTGTATATTGTAACACATGACACAAAATAGGAGCAAGTTCATATTTACTAACTAATATGAAACGTAGCTTCTATCTTCAAACGTGATAAAAAATAAAAAGTAGTTCAGGATTATTTAAAAAGTATAGTTGCTATTTTTGATTTATTCACAGAAATGGATTTTAATTTATACAGTACAAATTTTTAATACTACCCATAATATTTAAAAAAGACTACACAATAGGATAACAAAACGTAATTGGTATAGGCAAGTTACATGAAATTGGAGGTTTCTGAGAAGGTATCAACAAGGTTGGTGTGCATGTTCATGTTGCTCGATCATACTGGTACAGTACCTGAAAAAATAATGAAGATTATAAATCAAAGTCAGTCAATTATAACCACTACTCATTTGATACCATCCTATGTCATTCTCTAAGCTAAGAATAAGAACAAGACTATTTATTTTCCCTTTGACAAAGTACATGCATTTGGAGTCGTCAGTTAAAGGAAGGCATAATGATCACAAACTTTACTAATTCAAATTCAATCAACATGCTTCTACAAAAACTCTCAAAAGTTTTACAATAAATAAATAAATACATAAATTAATGATAATAAATAATCACTGTATGTTCACAACTAAAAACTAAAAGATGCAAGATCTAAATACACATGCAAGTCAAATAAATATCACGTATCAAGAGTCAAAACTTAAAAATAGGTACTTACGGATGCTGCTGGTATATTAAAAAAATCATACCAGGAATACAGTGGGTTGGCCAATAAAAGGTTTCTGAGGTTGGTTTTGAATTTTGAAAAATGTTCTACCTAATACAGTAGAATCTTGCTAATTCGAATTTCAGAGGAAGACCAGTATATTTCCAATTATTTTATGGGAAGTTTAAAATATCGAGAGTTTGATTTATGACGTCATTCCCGCGCGTTATAAGCTATGCAACGTTTTGAAAATTATAAGATATAGAACAAACGAGATTTTATAAGCTGCAGAACATTTGAGCTATACCATTATAAGTTATGCCACATGGGTAAATATCCGGGGGTAGAAATCCGGCGACCCAGTTATGTGGCATGGGTCGCCGGATTTCTACCCCCGGATATTTACCCCCATGAAAAAACGCCTACGTCACTTTGACGTCACATGTATGGGGGTAGATTTCCGGCCGCGAACTTTTAGGGTGGATAAATTATTGTATATTCAATCAACTCGCATTTCACGGTTTACTTAACAGTTGTAATTAATCAAAATGCTAATAAACCTGACACCGGAACTTTACCCCCGGAAATCTACCCCCAGACATCCACCCCCAGACATCTACCCCCGGAAATCTACCCCCAGACATCTACCCCCGGACATCTACCCCCGGACATCTACCCCCGGACATTTACCCCCAGACATCTACCCCCGGAAATCTACCCCCAGAAATGTACCCCCAGTGGTCAAATCATAAATGTCCGACCCCGGAATTATTTATTTCCGACCCCCAGAAATCTACCCCCGTGCAACACTACGTATCGGTCAATATTCATTGTTGTAGTTGATTTTAGTAATTGGTTTATAAAAATAATCAATGGCTCTTCGTTTAATAATTACTCTCTAATATCTAGTATTAAGCATGTGATATGTCGTTGTCTTGTTTAATGTCATCTATCTTCCCAATTCATTAAGCTGTTACTGATTTAGGTGTAATTTTTAAGCTTAAGATTCAGTGCAACGCAAATCGTAATTAAAAAGGATATTTTGATAAAGGGCTCCAAAAGTGTAACCCATAAGCATTTGATTTATTTTCAGACAGTGATTTAAATTGTTAACCAATTTTCACATACATTCATAGCTAAACATATCACTGAAGGAGGTTATTTTCTGATTACTAGTGGTAAAAATGCAATTAAATGTTGATAAAAAGCCTGCCACAGGTTGATTAATGAATTAATAATTTTTTCACTATCAAATACCTCCTAGTAATAAGTACAGTAGTAATTACCTCCTATGTCGTAGACACTATCCGGAGTTTTACATTGGCTAAAAAGTCTAGTTGTTTACACATATAATTAATCGTAAACAATAAAACATAAACATATTTTATGATTTGTCCTGGTTGTCAATGCTGGTTGTGAAATAACGGAGAATAATGTAAAAGAATAAAATTGGATATTTCGGGATAGGGAAGGTATTTTTACCTTATGGTTCTTTTGGTTTCACGAATTTATTTTAATGAAAATAGAGTTTAGTATGAACATTGCTTAAAATTATTTATTTTTGTCATTTTTACGTTTCATACATTAAAGAAGCCAAAACAAGTCTTTATCTCAATTTCTGTCTTGTCTGTCAAGGCCCAGAAGGCATTTTACGTGGCCTTCTTCTCAAAAACTAGAGCATTGATCGTGATTCGATTTAAATAGTCTTTTTGGATTCGGTGGATTGACACGAGTAACTTAAGCCATTAAAATATGGCCTCACTACTTTTGAATTAAAATAAATTTGGTTGAAACCCCCAATTTTTTGCATTTTTGTCAAGTTTAGGCTACTCCTAATGTTTACCAGTAATTAATGAAATACTAATAATTTGTTTGGAGAATACGACATCAATGAAATAACGAACAGCTGTGAAAGATGAAAAGCTGGATAAAGATGATTTTTTCTAGCTGTCACTGGAAATTTGTTATTACATTTAGTTTACAAATACTGCAACCATTTCCGATCATGTTTTGTAATAAAATCCAAAACCAAGTAAGATTAAAAACGTTGTTACTCACGTAAATAAACGGATCAAATAAATCGTAAGTGCAATAATATGTATTTAGTGTACATGTTGCTCGAATTCGAGCAATTGGAAAGTATTAAAGGAGTTATTTCAAAATGAATAACAATGAATATTTACAATGAGTTTAAATGAGTCGACTCAAAGATTATTAGTAACTAAAACCATGTTTATCTTCGTTATTGATAAACCAGCATTCATCCGGCTGGTTTTCTCCTTCTCAAAATGCCTCGCTGTACAGGCAACACAGGTTATTGATAGAGGGCCAATTGAGAACGAAAAGTCGTTTTGGGGTAGTGTTCCATCTCTTGTTTACAGTTGCAGACGATCTATTCTGGTTTTCAACCTGATTTAAAAATTGAACTGATTAGTAATCTGCTCACATTTCACCTTTATAACTGTTACTGTATAGTGTGAAAGTTGGTCAACCATTGGAAGCACCTTCTAGGAATAAATCAAAGGCTTAGGGGTCAACCTTTTGAAGCCCTAATCGAAATATCCTTTTTAATTACCATTTTGCTCTGCGCAAGATCTCAAGCTTTAAAATGACACCTCAATCGTAACAATCGGCGAAGAAGGTCGGGTGAAAAAAGGACTGTTACAGCTTATTGAATTAGGATGATAGATAATGTTAAACAAGACAATGACATATCGCATGCTTAATACTGGATATTACAAGACAATGCTTAACCGAAGAGCCGTTGATTTCCGGGGGTAGATGTCCGGGGGTAGATGTCCGGGGGTAGATGTCCGGGGGTAGATATCTGGGGGTAGATGTCCGGGGGTAGATGTCCGGGGGTAGATATCCGGGGGTAAATGTCTGGGGGTAGATATCCGGGGGTAGATTTCCGTGCTATGGCAAATCACTTTATAATCAAACAATTACATGTTGATTATTTAATAATATATTGGGGGTAAATTTCCAGTCGCGGGCTGTTTCTCGACCGTGTATAGGCCCCGCCCCTCGTGACGTCAAAATGACGTAGGCGTTTTTTCATGGGGGTAAATATCCGGGGGTAGAAATCCGCTACCCCTGCCACATTTTAAGAAAACTGTTATAAGCTATGCCACATTTCTACGATTATAAGCTATGTAACAATTTAAATTTCCCATTATAAGTTATGCCACATTTTTAAGATTATAGGCTATGCAACAAATTCGCAATTATAAGCTATGACATTATAAGCTATGACATCGTACCCTTATTTTGACTAGAGTCCTCACTGATTTTCAGTTCAGTGAGTGATTCAGCTTCAGTTTTCAGCTTCAGCGTTTCAGTTCAGTTCAGTAGTGTTACGTTTCGGCAGCCGTGAGTATCGTGTTTGCGCATGCGCCAAAGTGTGCCATTGCCATGCGCAGTGGAGTTGTCAAAATAAGTTCCGTTATGTCTTCTCCTTCTGTCAGAAGTGGATCCTCCGTTTCGCGTTGTTAAATCTTTGCTTATTGATAAATAGCGAGTGATTGAACCGTATATTGTGAATTATTTGAAATAGTAATGAATCGGTTTGTTAGTGAATGTGTTAATTCCAACGTTAGTGCAGTGGGATAAGTTTTACTGGTGGTGTTGTCAAATCCGATTCTCAAAGGATTATTCTGACATATGTGTTGAAAGTTCCTCTTTTTATATTCGGTAAGATCAAGTAATGTTCACTTAGATAGGACAAAGAAGGTTGATTTTAATCATAAATATGGTACCTAAGGTTATGTTATGGAGATGGCGTGATACCATGTTCTAATTCAACATAGGCTACACTTGACCAGCCATAACTTGAAAGCCAAGTCTGCAAAACTAATTTAACCCGAGTTTATAGGTTTAGGCTATGTGCATTATGTTCTCGCATGCTTTTAAATAGAGGAAACCTCCTTAAGTATACTTGAACATTTTTTAAACCATAGGCCTATATAAATTAAATAAGTTAAGTTAGTGCCTAACTTATAAAAAGGCTATGTTATAGGCCAACTTACCTATTCCAAGTCTACTTTGACAATTTAGGCGTAGTAGCAAGTTAAAAAAGTTGAAACCTTCTAAGATAGGTCTCCTCTTGTACCAACAATTCTTAAAGTAACTTAAGGCCTAGCCTACTTAAGGGGATTCACCACTGAAAATAGGCAAAAATCATAAAAAATTAAAAAAAATTTTTTTTTCATTTCTTTGTACATTGGACCCTATTACATCCAAAAAGTATGATATAAGTCATGTCTGAATGTTATTTTCATTAAAAAATATATATTTTTTGTGTTATTGCACGTTCACGAATTTTTAAAGTTTAATGTATTACGGTATTACGTAATGTTTCAGCTTAGGTTTTATATATCATATGATTTTGTGTAATATATGCCTTTATTTACAAATAATCATAGCTATAAAAGCCTAAAATAAAATCACACCTTCATAAATTTACTTACTTTTATATTCTTTGTAATGCACAAAAAACCATATGACATCAACTGTGGAGTCAGATGATCAGCTGATCCTTAGTCCAGTTGTGCAATGTCAACAAACAACTGAACTGAATTTATTTTGTCTGATGTTTTGGTTTTTGTGTATTTGCTAGTGATAATTTTATAAGCTAAAATACTAAATATGGGTAGAGTGAAAAAAAGTAAAGTAAATACTGCAGTGCGAAACAAGAGAAACATTTTGAAAAGGTATGAAGTGAAGCCCATAGAATTAGTAAGTGTTGAAATGGACATAAGTGATGAAAGTGAGGTTATACTTCCAGAAACTGATATTTCTAGGCCTAGTACTTCTGAGTCAGGTAGGAATAAGCCTACTGGTGTTTTTGAACAACCAACGGGTTTCGCTCTTTACGAAAGCTACAACATCAAAGTGGATGTAGATGAAAATGCACCTAAATATGTGTTGGTAGATGGAAACAAGCTGACATCATTTTTACAAAACTTCAAATGTCCTCAATGTGTGGGTAACTTACAGGTAAACCAGTTGCCAGCTAAAGGCTATGCAAATTTTTTCAATGTAAAGTGCAGTGACTGTGAATACGAAGATACTCTCAACACGTCTACAACAACCAACAACTGTGATGAAAATTCGACTCGACAGTCGTTTGACGTAAACCGTAGAATGGTTCAAGGATTTTTAAGTATTGGTAAAGGACACAGGGGTATGGAAGCTTTCAGTATGATAATGAATATGAAAGCAATGAACAATTTTGCATACAACAAACACATCAAGCAGATACATGCCAAATACGATAGCGTAGCAAAGGAATCATTGGAGAAAGCTAGACAAGAGGTAAGAAAAGCCTATTCAGTAATAGATAATATATCTTTGGATGAACCAGAGCCCATAAACATTGCAGTCAGTTTCGATGGAAGTTGGCAGAAGCGGGGGTTTACCTCGAAAAACGGAGTGGGTTGCTGTATCGATGTAGTAACTGGCCTTGTAATCGACTACGAAGTCCTATCTAAATATTGTAGGCTTTGTGAACAGAAGAAAAAAGAGCTTGGTAATGACTCTATCCGTTTTAGGGACTGGTATGCCCATCACAAACCCAATTGTCAACAGAATTACCATGGATCTTCACCAGCAATGGAGACAGAGGCAGCTGCGCGAATTTGGATGCGCTCGGAGAACCACGGCTTCCGCTACACCACTATTGTATCTGATGGTGACTCTAAAACATTCAGCCACTTGACTAATATGAATATTTACAAAGATCATACAATTGAAAAGGTGGAATGTCTGAATCATGTGGCAAAGCGCCTTGGCACTGGTCTCAGAAACATTGTAAAAGACAACTCCGGCAAGGGCGAGCCTCTGGGTGGGAAGTCGTATGGTAGCTTGAAGGGAAGCACAATTGACAAATTAACTACCTACTATAGGAATGCCATTCAAGGCAATTTAGGTGATGTAAAAAAAATGAAAGCAGCAATTTTTGCTACTCTATCCCATTGCTCGTCAACCGATGAAAAACCTATGCATGGTAAATGCCCACAAGGATCAGAATCATGGTGTTTTTACAACAGGGCTATTGCTAAGGGTGAAACACCAGAGGCACACCAAGTAAAAATAAAAACACCTTTGACAGAAAGAGTTGTATCTAAGATCCTCCCCTTATACCAACGGCTCTCAAGCGATGCATTGCTCCAGAGGTGCATTTCAGGAAAAACGCAAAACGCGAATGAGGCACTCCATGGAGTAATTTGGACAAAATGTCCTAAGACTTCTTTCTCTTCTAAAACAAGACTGGGAATCGGTGTTAGTGAAGCCATATGCCAGTACAACACTGGATACAACCAAAGCATGCTTGATCTGCAGCGATCAGTTGGTATAAGTCCTGGAAGATCGACCGCAAGAATCGCGAAGAGTTTTGACAAAAAGAGGCTGAAACTGGCTCAAACCAGAAAGAAGATGAAATTTAGTGAGTACAGAAGAAAACTGAGACAGGCACAAATGGAAGAAGAACAGAGGAAGATACAAGAAGAGGGCCAAACTTATGGTGCAGGAGAATTTTAAAATGCCCATAACGGCGAGTGATTCAAACTTTCCGATGGATTAAATTTGGCTTAGGCCTAAGACTTATATATTTTTAAATGTTTCTCTGAAGTAGGCCTGTTTGATATTTACCTATTTTGTGAAACAATAAGATAATGTAACAATAAAATAAGTTTTTTCCTTATTTATCAGTTTATTTTAATTTATATCATTGATTACAGTACACCTTCTTATTCAAATGCGGTTTTCCGCAACATTGAAATTCCACGTTTTTCAAGACAAAATTTGATATATCTTGAGAGCCACTAAAGGTACATTGTTGAAATTTTTACTACTTATTCTAGACAATATTAGGCAAATATTTAGGTAGAATTAGGTATCTAAGGTAATTAGTTACTGAAAAATATTTTTTTTTGTTTAATAATTCTTTTTTCTCAAGAAAAATTATATTTAATGTGTCACAGCAAAAAAAGTATCCGAGATATTATTATGAATCTACCTAAATATTAAGTTTAGATAATTATCTTTAAAAAAACACCAAATTTATCAAAATCCATAAAGTGCTCTCTTCAGAATATCGATTTTTTAAAACCCTTACAAATTGACCGAAAAATCTCTATTTTATTTTTTTTTCCACCTATAATTTGAATTTAGAAGTAAACCACAATTTTTCTATTTTTTTTTACATTATACCCTACTAGAAAAAAAATAGTTTCACCACTTTCCTCATTAAATAAAAAAAATCACCCTTTTCAGTGGTGAATCCCCTTAACTTAGCTTAAGCCTACAGGAAGTATTTGTTTTCATCATCTCTGTGGTCGCTGGTTTGATTGCAAGCGAGCTCGTCCCTCCATTTATCATCGGACCATCAATTGAGTTATAGGCCTAGATGCTAACTTAGCCTATCTACCAAAATCCAAAGTTACAACATTCAAAGATATACGTAGGTACCGTACCGTACTTAACTTAAATGGTGTCTAGCACTAAGTTAGTGCTGTTGTCTAGGGAAAAGTTCCAACAATACCCCCTCGCCATCACATACTACTTTACTAACACTTATCTTAGTGGAGGAAGACCACGTGCGATATAAATTTTCTCATAATGCTCGCTGCTGGGGCTCTTCCTTGATCGTCACAAGTATTATTTCAGTGACAACATAGGCTACCGGTACTACACCTAAAAGCGCAGGGTTGTCCCATTTTTATTAAGAAGTGTTTCCTCTGTACCTTACTTCTCTGTACCTAATGTCCTAACTAATGAAACAGTTGGTCTAAGTAAAAAAGCTAGGTACTCCTGGCATCTATTTCCCTCCATTTTAAACACTCATCCTTCACTTGTAAGTTAAGTTATTTTGTTTAAAATAAGTTGTAGGCCTATGTTTCCAATCTCAGTTGATAAGCTTAACCGGGTAAGTACTTCAAATGGGCTCACCTGTGGCTAAATTAACTTATAAAGTGATTCTGGATCAGAAACATTAGGCTAAGTTAGGTATACAGGTTATTCTCACTAACTTTATTCTACACGTCAATCCATGAATCATATGCAGCTAAAATAAGCTCACAAAGTGCTTTGCTGTCTTGTAAAAACTGATTGAACAGTTTTAGGCTAAATAAGTATTAGGACCTACGTCAAAATATCAAAGTTTGTTCCATTGACACCAATCCTAGGAGTCTGATTTAACTTCTCTAGTTGGTAAAACCCTCTTATTTTGTCATGATACCGGCTAAGTTACATTAAATTTCTAGTTACACTGTTTCACAAAAGACTATCCTGATCATGTATTTCTTCTGTTTCAGACCATGACAAGTTCGCCCCCCGTAGTGTCTAGCTCCGCCGCTAGTTCTGTATTCCCTCCCAATGTAAGTTCCCCCTCCCCCACACCCTCCACCACGCCTTGGCCTACCTACCCTCATGCGGAACCTATCTTCCTCCAGACGAGGCTCGCACAAGGCATTGCCGGAGCCTTTGTATGGGTAGCACTCTTCCTCACATGCCAACAGGTTAGTTACTCTGATTCAGATAGAGATATTCTGATAGAGATATTCTTAATTAGCTGGGTAGCTGAAAACGATAGTTACATAGTGCTCCTCTGATGATGTTGCCAGTTTGACTCTGTTTAACATACAGTCTTTAACGTTTTGAAGCTGAACTGAGTTGTCCGTAATCATTCGGCTTTTAATAAATGATCCTGTTTAAAAAATCAGCTAGTTTAGTAAAAAGATCTAATCAAAGGCTACTACCACGGCCACCTTTAACTACAGGCTGCGGCCAGCGAGAATTGGCAACGTCGCACTGAGCATTAACTCCCGGCCATTTCACCATTACGGTAGTACGGAACTAGTGGTCGTGGTTTAAATATAGGCCTACTGCATTTTTACACCCTTACAATTGCTGAGATAAAATTTTGAAATTTGGTACAGAGCTAGAGAATAAACCCATAATGCCAATGGTATGGTTTTGAAAATTAAAATTTCTTTTGGTAGTATATATGTATTTTTTTTAATTAACACATAGAATAATTTTGGAAAAGTGAAGTGAAAAAGTTAGTCGCCTACTAAAATTTTTGTTTGTTGCTCAGAGAAGTTTCGTCTGTGTGAGAAAGTTGTAGATAATTAAATATACTTTACTGTTTGTATTCAACTTTTCTTACTATCATGCTTAGTTTTGTTAAAATATTGGGTTGAACAGAGCGACCAAATCTCAGTTTTTAGGCGCGGCATGGCGATTAGCGCTGCCCGCAAGCTGTAGTGTAGTATCGCATAGCTAACAGTTAATTAATGTAGGCCAACTGAATTATTTCAAGCAGGTTAAAATGCCTTTTGGTTATCCTCAAGAATATTACTTTTGTATCAAATATTGCTTTAATACACATACATTCCCAACCAGTACAGAAGTTCAGTTATAACTGAAAAGCTCTACCTGTGTTCCTTATATTTTCCCGTGATAAGTAATATATTATTACAGCCAACAGCACAGCATTGAATGCATTTCAAAGACAGGTTAACTATTTACTACAATCCAACCATCAAGTTTACACGTACACTGTGCACACTGCACGACTTAATGTCTTCGTAATTAAATACCGTAGCCTAAACAAAAATGCCTTTTCTTTTTAGTTTTATTAATTTTGCTTTTTGTTTGTTATGGATTTTAAGAATGTGTTATATTTACACGTTATTATATGTAGTATTATGAGAAATAAAAATATTACTTCATTCATTCTGTTATTGCGCCACCATTAATAACTAATCCATTGAAAATATTCTTGCAACAGACAATTGGAAGGCGGGACTAGCGGAAACTTTTAATTTTGCGTTCATCAACCAATAGTGGCGTAGCGACCACCATCTTGGTAGAATTAGGTGGAATTAGCGAATAACTAAAATTAGCGGCAACATGTAGCCTATATGCTAATTAGTGTGCAGTTGTTCTTCTGTATTGGCTGTTTTTTTATGTCTTTATGTCTTTTTATGATATCGATATTTTAGAAATAGCTGAAACTGTTTGTATTTGTGGAGTAAATTTTAAAGAAATAGTGTCAAAAATTATTTCGAGAATGAGCAATATTTTGATAAATAACTGAAAACGAAAGTAAAATAAGACAAAAATAATAGCCACCATAACCAGAGAAAAATGTCAATCCTCTCTTGAATAAAATAATTTTATCTATCGCTTTCGTTAATTTTTACTTTGTATAGTAAACGTCATCATTCTAATAATTGATGGGGAGCGAGCTGGTGTAGTGGTTAGAGCGCGGGATTTCAGTCCCTGAGGTCCCGGGTTCGATCCCCGCCAAGTCACCAATGGATTTGATCTAAGTGATGATGCCGCAACCTCTAGGACTAGCTGAAGTAATGTGAAAAACACTTCCAGGCTCGTGCCTAGCGTCCTAGGACAAAAAAAAATTCTAATAGGCCTAATTGATAAAACAATAGCTTACATAGAAGCTGCAACTAAATAACATTGTAAATAGGATTTAAATTTTAAGTGTTTAACAAATAATAAATCATAGAGTAAATATGTAGAAGAGACGGAAGAAAACTACAACTATACCGGTACGCCTAATACTTAAACGTTAAATGTACCCGTACCGTAAAAGGTTTTAATAAATATTGTATTATATTCTTGTATTAACACGAAAGCCTTGTATAATTCTTTCCTTCTTTTCCTTCACATCAGTGTTGTCAGATATAAAACATCTAAATTAATAGATAATTTGCGTGCTTGCTCTAATCCTCTGTGGCGCGAGCGCTAGCGTTCAGTGGCGTAGCGTAGCCATCCTACTACTCAATCTCTATTTGTATTCAGCTAGGCTAGGTCTATACAAAGTTTGTCAATGTCTTACTAAAGCAATGACCTACCTTCCCATATTAAAGTACTTTCTACTTGTGTAAAATATGTAAAATTATTTTGTGTAAACTATGTACTATGTTAAGAATGCTATGAAACCCTGACCTAACTTTACATTCTGAAACCACTCTGTAATACACATTCAACATGATCTTCGTCAACATCCTTGACCTTGGCAGGGGAAATAAAATATCTATAGGAGGGACAAAACCAACTTTTTGTATTAGGTCTACTTTTTCATGTAGTTTTCAAAATAAATCAAAAGTCTATTCTATTTAGGCTATTAATGTAGTTTTTTTTGTATAAAAACACGTCTTTTGAAATGAGTTGCTACAGCAACATAGACTCTTAAGTAAATACCGAGAAAAAATTAAGTATTTTTACCTTTTAGTTTGTACAGTTATGCTTTTCGTTTAAACAGAAATACTCTATTAATTTCAAACCAGGTATCAAATCTTCATATTTTACACTGTTCTTATTTCACGATCAGAGTACCTCAGACAGTAAATTCTATCCTTGTTATACGGAACAGTCGCGGCCAAAACCATGAGATTGATTGGTCACGGTGGCATTGACCGTCAAAACTTTGTCCTTCCGCTCATCTCTTCTTTTTTACTTTCTTTGTCACTTTTGTAAGCATTCGTAAGGAATTGAATCCAGGGTTGTGCATGGACATTATGGTTTTCATTGTTTAGTTTTTTTAAGTTAATGTTTATTTATAAATTGAATTTTAGATAGATTTTTTCGATTTGCAGTTGAAACAATGTGTACAATTATTTTGTGTAAACTATGTACGGTAACCAGATAAAACTCGTCTATTTGATTTATTGTGTTTCCTCTGGTATTTTCGCGGTGAATCAAAGTTCACATTGTAAAATTTAGTAGAAAAGAGGAGAAAAAATTGGTTCAACATGCGTAAAACCAGATGTTAAACACAGGCTTCACACTTAGCTGTAGGATGAAAAGTCTACTTGCAGTACGTATTCAGAGAACTGATTCGTGCCAATTAAAAAAGTTCTAAAAATTTTAAGTACCACTACTAACTACTTTACTAGTTAACCACTTTTTCTTTCCATGGAAGCAAACCATTAAAAATAATTCCCACATGCTTAACATGTTGTTTTTAAAAGCCAGAGGCCGGAGGAGTAATAGATTTTATTATTGGGAACAAGACAGAAAACTTCCTAGGCAATATAGAATATATTGAATCTATAGAAACGAAAGGCAATTTCCCAAATTTTAATAATGATTAAATCAACGGTTTGGTAATGATAAAGTACAGACATACAGAAGAGCATTTGATTTTATATGTAGTTAAGCCTACAAGGTATATAAGATCCTTTCTGTTTTTCCTTTTGTTTCCATAAAGCAGACCAATTAATATTTTTTATCCCTCAAAACTCCACCTCAGAACTTTAAAAACCCAAGTTGGCAGAGTCCTTGGTTGACATTAAAACAGGACTAGGCCTGTAATAATCCCTGGTGCAGGAGCTATTTTCTTTAATTTTAGCTTAATTGGTTCAGTAGATTATGCTTGTTGGAAAGACGGATAGACAAACACCTAATTCTTATTTTATTTATTTATTTTTGTTTAGCCTAGATGTCCAACATTAGACCACTCAAGTTATTTTAATGGGAAGATTTTTCTTCATTTTTCTTGTTGTCTGTCTTTACTTGTTCAATCCCAGTACTTTTTCATTCAGTTAGACTGTAATTTCTTTCTCCGTTTCAAATCATCCTCACTGATCCCTTGATTAATTAGGCCTACTTAAACAATAGTGCTGTGTGTTTATCTTGTAGTGCTTTAAGTTTTTCCTTATTTTTTTCAATCCTCAATAGAAATTTCTAGTTCTCTCATCTATTCTTTTATTTCTGTAGGCGTAATACACTTGATGTCGGTTTTGCTGTTCCACAATTTTACCACGATTTTCCTGCTCACTGTCTCATATTGAAGACCTAAAGTAAACGTTCAAAGAATGAGATTCTTTCCTTTCTTATGGTATTTTCCCCTCTTTTTCACCTTTAATTGTTATATATAGCAGGTAAACAGATAGATAAAAAACCTAAGTTTCCGCAAATTAATCATCAATGTAAAAAAAAATTTCTGAAGGTCAAATTTCAAAATGATGCAAAATTGTCTATAGTTTGTGAAATACCGTTGTAGGATGATCAAAACTTTCAATTGAGGCTGGCAGTGAGGTCAGATCAAGGCAAACAAGTTCCCCCTCCCCCCCTCCACCCCTCTGTCCAACAAGCCTTTCACCAGGCCACGCCATCGAGTGAAGACACTGACTTCTTTGTCATCAAAACAGTCTCACAGCTGTGGGATATGCCTTTCTTTGTTACTGCCTTGGTTTCTCTCGGCCATTCGAGAAGAATACCTATGTCTTAGTAGGAGTTACTTTCACGTTGCTAGTTGTCTGTCTTTATATGGTATAAAAAACTGCTTCCTAATCACGTACTTAAGGTTTTATGAGGAAGAATTAAATTTTCTTGGAATGCTCATTAATTTAATGCTGAAAGTAAAGGTGACGTTGTCCAATCTATTTAAGAAAGACTAATAAAAGAGGAATTATAAATTACTTAAATGTAAAAAGCCTGCAACTGAATACAAGATGAACATTTTTAACCTTTGTTAAACAAATTTAGT